TTACTGAAACACCATCGTTTTGTGGGAAATAAGAGGCCTGTGAATTCAGGACGCACCCCGAAAGGAAGCATACGCGAAAGTTAACTTTTCCTTTACCACACGCGCTTGATCTTACGTCTTTATCACTTAATCAGAGTGGGTGGTTCTTTTAATCCTTTGCCGTACCTAACCAATCGCTGGGCAGAATTCTCATCACGCCTACAGAGAGTCTCGGCCGCGTATCTATCCCACCACTCGCTATAGTAGTATTCTCGTAAGAGTCCGTTTCATTCACAAAGGGAATTACAAGAAAGGAAACACAAAGGAAACCTACTATCTATGGCTAAATGCAGGGACTCCAAATGTACTTCTCGGCTCTTGGTGGGTGGGTCAAGGCCCTGTTGGGGCATCAATTGTTTAACTCTTGTACTCTCTTCTCTTGGTCACTCTCGTTGCACGAAAACAAAGGCTTCTTGGTCAGCGGGTAGCAAACGGTTGACGTCGGTGAACGCAGTGGTCAAAGGTTTACGTGACCGGGTGGCGCGCTTTCAGGTTTTCAGAACAAAGTTGTCACACACAATGTACAAACAACCGCGCGTAGTTAACGGGGTCACTTTGGCTCCTAACCGATCAGAGAGCGTTCTTTTGTGACCAATTATATCACGTGGACTAATTATATCACGTTGAAAATAACCCATAATCTTGAAATTTTTTAGTGGCCCTAAGAACATCCAGCGGAAACGAAGTTACACGTTCAGACATGGTTTGATGCTACTCTGGTTTACAGATTTAATGAATGTAACCGAAGAAATTACGATTCATAGACCCAACGTTTCGACACTCCTGTCTAGTGCCTTCATCAGGGGTGATCTAAACGTTGCAACAAGAGGTCCTTTTATATGATCACTAATTAGCTGCCTTTTTTCTGACGAGGTGTAAATAGGCGTCAGGAAGCAAGCCGCCATCGTCGCGATTTAAAGGAGCGTGGGCGGAGTTAATATGCCAAGCCAAGCCTCCAAACAAAGGCGCTGGTGGTAACACCGATTAGTGGTGATAATTTTAGAATTATCCCACCCAATTGTATGGTTGGTTAGGCATGTGTGCTCTGATAAAGCTGAATTTTCCTTTTTGCAAAAGAAAACCGCTTTTTGATGCTCTTTCAAACGTGTACCAAACTGACGTTTGGTCTGTTCGATGTATTCGTTGTCACAGTCATTGCAAGGAATAGAATAAATGGCGTCGGTACGTTGTTCTTTCGTGACAGGATCCTTAGGTTTGGCGAAAATATGCCCCAAAGTCTGAAAGGGTTTTTGAGTAACTTTAACGTTGTGGCTATTCAAGGATCCATTAGCGCCGAAGATGAAAATCTTTCACCGCTCCTAAAAGAAAGAGAACATTTTTGTGATAATAATATTGTTCGTTGGGTGATTTTTAAAAGTCAAGTTCGGACAAATTTTGATACAAAATTTAATCTGAAAAAGACTCAAATCTTCTCACAAAGTCTCAAATTTCGTCAAATATTATTTGAGAAAAGCTCAATTTTAGACATCAAACCGTGAATGAATTCACCTTCCATCACTCTCAACAGCATCGTCTGGAAACAAAGCTTTAAGAACCGCCAGAAATTTCCTGTAGATCGACTTGAAAGTTTGGACAAATCAACGAATTTGAAGAGCAATAATTTGCTTGTTCATCTAATGCGCTGTTAAGTAGACATGTGGCACGACAAGGCGTAAAATATAGAGAACGCTCGCTGTATCGGCACTTCTTCATTGTTTTGGTAGCCATTTTGGAAATTTAACCAGGAACTTTAATGTTAGGTACTTCATATACCATAGTGTATACCAATTACGCTGGTCATAAAATCAGAAATTCGCTTTATAACATAGCGCGTGTGCTTGCCCTATATAAGTCCTATTGAGCCGCTATGAACAAAATCTTTATTTATGCACGCCCGTGGGCAAATAAGATGACGTGAGCATATTTTTTACCTGGTGTGGTGGTTGCTCAGGAGAAAACTGCAAGTTTCCCGCAGTCTGTCTTCTCCAATTGCGCTGTGCACGATAGCGAAAACATTATTTTGAACAATCAAAACCCTTAATAATTTTGGGTCTTTGACTTTTAAAACATTTTTTAGTGACACTTAAGTTCATTTGGCTCCGTAGAACTTTGAGTACACCGCAGTCTGGAAGAATCGCGCGAACGAAACGACTCGGATTTCTGGTAATGAGTGCTGCGCGGTAAATTCAATGTACTCTAATATTTCAATCTACCACGCTCACAGCAATCAATGGAGCAGCCATGCAACCTACCAGTGCTTCATTTATTTAATGTTAATGATCCATAATGTTACCTCAGTGGGTCTCCATAAAATATTACGTTCTGATTATAAATAAAGTTGCCAAAGCAACTTTCTAATAACAGCTCACCAAACCTTCAAGGTTCCTGAAATGGGCAAAATCTGATCTCCCAAACAATTCAGGCCGAGATGACATTCGGACAATACTAAAAGTTATTACAAAAGAAACCATTTTTTCCCGAACGTAAATTAAAAACGAATTTTAGTGAGGAAATTACGAGCCATTCATTAACAAATATAAATGCAACTGATTGCATAAATATGCTTTTTGGACTTCTTTAACGAGACTATGACATTATATATTAACATGCACTTAGGGCCGGTTTTTAACTCGCGGTTTGACCCAAACTGCGGTTTCACACAAACACTGTTCACAATCATAAATATTAGAAGGTTCAGTTAAGCTAAAGATAGTTTAGAACGCGGTTTTGTTCAGTCAAAAAGAGAAAAAAAAAACTGCTTAACTTTGTTTAAGTAACTGGAATTCAGTGTTGTATTTTCTCCATCGGCTTTGGTTTCTTACATGAGTGTTTTTTAAGTATGTGTTCCTAAATAATGCGATCTGAACAATTTTTATATCGGTTATTAACTATTTAAAGGATGCATGATTTTCTTTTTGAAGAAGACATCTCCATAATTCATGGCGGTTTTAACAGGTACTTAACATAGACCTTTGTGGCCCCAGGTTAAGCAGAAATTAGTCTGTAGAACTTTCACGAGAAGGAGCAAATGAATCGTGAACTCTTTGAGATGTCTAGGCCCTCAGCTCGTATTTAATGATAAAAAATCATATTAAAATTCGATTTTGAGCACGCAAACAAAGTAATGACGTTTTCAAGCTTTTTTAAACGGAGATATCGTGGTTAGTTAAAGCGCACATCTTCACTATCTTAACTAAATAAGCATATAACTTTGCTACAAAACATTTATGATACTTTCATGTCGAAATCTCGTTTTTAATTTATTAATAAGTGTGACTGGTAATGAGAAGGTCTCAGTAAGTTAATGGCTCTTTCGGCCCACAGTTAACCCTGTTGAAGCCCTCTATTCACTATTTTTCACAAAAGGAATAATTATACCCAGGCATGCTAGTGGACAATTCAAGAGCAAGAATGCAGAAACCTGGCGGTGTCATTTCCTTTTAACCTCTAGAAGCTGTAGCTTGCGTACAGACTTTGGCTTCCATTTCATGAAGAACAAACATCTGGTTCATATTTGCACAGCTTCGCCTACGTTAAGGCAAGGAAGTTATGATGTGCGCATTTTGGAATCCGCTTAAAGTTGCTTTAAGAAAAACTTCTTATCACAAAGCAACCAGGCGCTGATTATTCGTAATTTCTCTTCCTTTTCTTACAGCTAATTGAACTGTAATAAAACTGTACGGCTGTTTAAGTACAAAACTATCTCGTTTCACAAAACAGACCGAAACATCAATAATAATAATGCGAGAAATACACATTTTCCCTTTCCGAATCTTCATCTAAGTTTGATCCACAATTCTTGTTTGTTACTGCAAATGGTGAGACATCTAATCGTTGGACTAAATTTGGTTCACGGTTTCAGCTCTAAAATGACATCGACGAAATACACGTTTTGAGCCTCTCGAACCCCGGTATATGGTTAAAGAAAACTTAATCATTGCGTTCACTAGTTACGTCAGTCCGAAACTAGAGGTAAATTTTTGCGATTGCTAACAATTTCGGTCCCTATTTCGTGCCACTTCTAACAGCGAGCAAGTATGCAATGACACCGTTAGAGAAACGATTTAGCTTTAGTTTCAGCAAGTAGCTTGTCATCATAACAAGGAAAACATTCGTAAACTGGTTAATGCTTGTGACCCAAACAGCGGTTTCACACAAACACTGTTCACGAACATAAATTTTCAGATGAAAGGTTTAGTTAAGATGAAGAAAAAAAAACGGCTAAACTTTGCTTGAGTAACCGGCCCTGAGTGTTGTATTTGCTCCATCGGCTTTGGTTTCTTACATAGGCGTCTTTGAAGTGTGTGTTCTAAGTTATGGAATGTGAACCATTCTTATATCGGTTCTTAACGAATTAAATGTTCAGTAAAAAAATTATTTGATGTTTGTGGGATGGTTCTCTTTTCGAAGAAGCCATCCTCATAATACATGGCGGTTTTAACAGGTACTTAACATAGACCTAAGGGCCCCGGGTAAAGCCAAAATAAGTCTGTAGAACTTTCACGTGAAGTAGTAATTGAATCAAGAACTTCTTGAGACGTCTAGGCCCTCAGCTCGTGGTTAATTTGGAATGGTAAAAAATCAAATTAAAACTCGATTTGAGGCGGAAAACACGCAAACAAAATAATGACGTTTTCAAGCTTTTTTTTTAAAGATATCCTAATTAGTTAAAGCGCACATCTTTACAATATTAACCATCTAAGCATATAACTTTGTTACAAAACATTCATGATACTTTTCATGTCAAAATCTCGTTTTTAATTTATTAATAAGTGTGACTGGTAATTAGAAGGTCTTCATGAGTTGATGGTTCTTTCACCTCACAAGTGACTCTATTGAAGCCCTCTATTCACTATTTTTTATAAAAGGAATAATTATACCCAGGCATGCTAGTGGACAATTCAAGAGCAAGAATGCAGAAAACCTTGCGGTGTTATTTCCTTTTAACCTCTAGAAGCTGTAGCTTGCGTACAGTCTTTGGCTTGCATTCCACGAAGAACAAACATCCTGTTCATATTTGCTCAACTTCACCTACGTTAAGGTAAGGAAGTTATAATGTGCTTATTTTGGAATCCGTTTAAAGTTGCCTCCAGTAGAAATTCTTATCATAAAACAACTAGGCGCTTATTATTCGTGATTTCTCTTCCTTTTTTTACAGCTAACTGAGAGGAATGCAACTTTAAGGGTGTAAAAAACTGTCTCCTTTCATAGACAGACCTAAACACGAATAACAACAACGCGAGAAATACACTTTTTCCCTTTCTGAATCTTCATCTAAGTTTGGCATATTTTCTTTTGCAAATGTTGAGACATCTAATTGTTGGATAAAATTTGGTTTACGGTTTCAGCTCTAAAATAGCATGGACGAAATACACGTTCTGAGCCTCTCAAACCCCGGTATATGACGGGTTAAAGAGAACTTAATCATAGCGTTTACTGGTTACGTTAGTCCGAAACTGGTGGTAAAATTTTGCGATTACTAACAATTGAGGTCCCTATTTCGTGCCATTTCCCGCAGAAACTTTACATTTTTATGAAGAAGTATGCAACGACATTCTTAGAGATACGATTTAGCAAAGTTACAGGAAATAACTTGTCATCATAACAAGTAAAACATTCGTAAACTGGCTAATGCTTGTGGAAAAAAGAATACTTCGTAGCTAGTATGAAACGGCGTTTCGTCTCAGAAAGGTATCTGATGACAGAATCAAACTGGATTTTAAGGCAGGGTTGAAACAGCAACACATAGATCAAGAAATACATTGTGGCTTGTAGAAACCTCCAAGCAGCCAGCCATTCTTCGCTGCATGCCCTTCCAACCAACGCCTGTTTGCCATTGTTCATTCTGAACTTATCAGCATCAAGACATGTCGAACAATACCAAATCATTTCAAAATAGATTACACCTCGCATACTTGTTTGTTTTTTCACGGTCTGTTTGCATTTCAGTCGGCTTAGGTATAGTATTATTGGACTAAATTTGGATCGCCAGAGTTTCTACCAAAGAATACTTGTCCTGTTTGGAAGTGTTTTTGATGAGATTTCTCACGACTTCTCTCTAAACTAATGATTTGTTTGACTATGCTTGCATGGACCGTGCGACACAAACACCTTATTGGATGGTTTAACATATATTATGCGCGAATATTTGGCGAGTTGCCTTTATTTTCAAAAATGCGAGTAATGAGCCAACTAGAGGCACAATGAAAAATGGAATTTTGTTTTTCAGATCGAGGTTGAAAAAGAACCAATTTAAAGATGTGAAAAATCATTCAGGCAGTCAGGAGCTACTACGCAATCATTTCTTAAAGGCGTCTCCCCTCTCCAACCCAAAAACCCAACACCCAACAAAACCTTTTTTACCCATTGTTTTATTGGAACCAATCATTATCAGACCTGTCAATTGAACAATAACGAATTATGTACTTGGTAATAGTTAAACAACGCGTCATTTTAATTTGCTTGTCGTTTTACTCTCTTTTCCCCAGTCTTTAAGTAACGCGTCATGTTGGTTTGATTTGTCAACTCATGGGATAAATTTCCTAGTTATTATTTACATATTTTGAGCTCATTCGGCAGAAGGATGCGTAGTCTCGAGGTGATAACCTTACCTGTGTCCTCGTTTCAAAGCTCCGAAAACTCTTTTGCTGCATCTCTCAAGTTTTAGTGGCACAAGGAGGAGAGAACAACAGTGTAGGAAAGGATAGGAAAATTTTGAAACATCTCTGGCGAATAAAAATGTCCATGTCAAGAAATCTTTTGCGAAGTAATAAACAAGTGAAAATGAATTGAAACTCGCAAACCTTTTTATTTTTGACTATTTCTTTTTTTTCGAATTATTATTTTTTTCAGCGATTCAGAGATCAAGATGAACCCACGACTTGTATTGGTGCTGTTGGCCCTGGTTGCTATGACTACGTCAATGACTATCAGAGATGATAATGAAGAGAACCATCATGATTTGGTAAGGCAGGATATTATTTGCATAATTATTATTCAAGCCGAAGAACATCACTTTAGTTGTTGCACTGAACAGCAAATTCTTTTTTAAAATATGGAATAAAATTTTTATTTTAACCTATTTGTGATACTTGGGGTCAGTGAATGTTTTCTTGTATGTTCAAGGATAAGCTGAGTCAGTAACAGATAACTGAAAATACAGTTGATTTTTTTCCCTTCCCAGTAGCTGCCTCTTCCTCGGAATTACCCCGCCTTCCACCCTACACCAAAAAGATATTTTTGCGGACATTTTTTCTTATCGACTGAATAGATAATTTATCTAGAGAGTAAGCTACTTGATTATTTGAATGGCACCATTCACTGTCCCTTTCTTTCAAGATTTATTTGCTTTTAATGCCGTAATTGAATGTTAAATGTTCTGAGTTATGGTGCGTTTCAGGTGACGCGTTGTAGGCCTCTTCGCTGTAATGCTTGCCAAGGGAGATTAGGAATAACTCACAAACGTTGCTGCGAACCAAAAAAATGGTAAGTGTCATCTCAAATTGAAAAACGAAAAGAAAACCCTCGGACGGACAAGGGGAAGGAGGGGGATAGATTTATCTTGGCAACTGTCCCTCCCCTAGAAGCTGTTTGTTTATCTTGGAAACATGTTTGCAGTGTGAACTTGTGGAAAATCAGCTGATTGGTATAGGAGTTTAAATTTCAAGTGAGGTGGGGTTCAAGGGTTGATATGAACTACGTAAGTAAAAATTGATATTTTTGAAGTGCCTATGACACGAAATTTTTTTTTGCGTAAATATTTCGCTTATCATTTGTACAAACCAATTCCGATAGAATAAAGATTTAAAAAAACTTAAAACTCGTTTTTTTCGGACCCTAAAGTGCTCTTATTTTGTCTTAAAAGTGTCCCGTGGACTGGTAACGAATTAGCGGGTAATGACGTAGAAAACTGTGAAAACTCTCCGTTGATACTTACAAATCTTTCATGCACATCTCTTGTAATTTTGTATCGGTCAGCGTTGAAATACTCTTGAAATAATGTCCGATAACGATGTATACCTACCTTCAGCAAGTTCTACCGAGAGTTTCGATACATCGTTCTCAAGTAGTAAAGAAGAAATGGAAGTTGCGAGTCCGATTCAACCATACGAAGGAGAACCGCGTACATCAAACGAAGATTTCGACGAAGACTGACTAAGACGGTCTCTCGCGTGCGGTGTTCAGGTCAAGATTAGAACGAAAAACTCCCGTTTCTTAATGTTTAGTTTGTTTCGTTTGTGTTTCGTTTTCTATGGCGAAATCTACGTTTTAAAAGAATGGGTAGCTGTGTTCGTTTTTGTTGACATAACATTTTATTCCTTCTCACTAAGTGCGGCGAAGGTTCCCCTTAGTCAGTGCTCTTGAGTTTAGTTGTTGTAGAATGATTCCCTTAGCTCACCACAAACTAACTTTTGACGAAAGAATCGGCTGCATCACGAGGCACGATGATTTTGTGCCGAGAAGTCATCGGGCAGTTTCACTGCAAGTTGCATCTTTCCTCAAAGATTGCAAAGGCTGAGGCTGTCGTCGTCGAGCCGGTCAAACGGAAAACGAGCGAATTTATCTGATTCAAGTTAACCTCGAATAGAAATTTTAATGGAGAAAATTTCTTTAGTTTAAATGCAGCATTGCCATATGACCCATTTCGCTCAATGGCAAATAACTGACATCAGTATTGTAAATTAATATTTCATCTGCATCCATTTTGCACACAACGCTTAGATTCGCAACCATCTAAATCAATAAATTTTTATGTTTTTTTTATCTATCTCGTTGGAGTGCTGTTATCACATTGACATTGCTACTGTTGCTACTTCTTGTTTCTTGAGGACAGGGGGGAACTGATGGCTCGTGGGATTTATTTTCGGAAACTTAGGTTGGAAGAATACACGGCCCCTTCGAGCTTGTGATTATGCTAGTACCCGCCAGAGGTTTCGCACTGTTCACACAACAGAATATCGGCCAGTTCAGGACAGGGCTTGAACTTTATCACAAATTATGTATTCCTGGTAACAAAATACGATGGAAACTACAACTAGTAGGATTTTCATACGGTAAGAAAAGCGCAAATGTAGTCATGTGGAAAGACAAAGAGTATGAGTACATCTCAACCGCGTGAAATAAACCTGAACGATAAGGAGCTCACCATCTTTCGCTTGCAACATGTCAGCCGAAAATAATGTTGAACAATCGTTTACGGTGGGAACAGGCTCCTTAATCGGCATTATTTTAAGCTTAATTCTTTGGTTATCTTCCCCTGATTTGTCTAGTGGTATGCGTTTATAACAGCCGCCTTCAGAGCCGGTACGGAGGATAACGCCGACGACATTCAGTGAAGAGTAAAATCTCCTCGATGTCGACGATCGAAATGCGTCCATTTGGCCATACAGCTACATCCTTTGGAAAGTAGTGTACAGAAATACCCGGTATATGCGTATTATTCTTGTAGCTAACATCATTTGGCGCTCCAGCCACGCAATATGTTCGTCCTATCTTCTAGATTTCTCCTTTCTCCAGCATAGTTGCCGATGTGTCTTCACAGTTTTCTACGTTACAACAATGTAACATGATCGTTTTGGCCGCGCGCTTAACGGGGACACTTTTTGGCCACCAAATCGTACTTTCAATGCACAAAAAATGATCAAGGAGAACTCGCTGGGCGCTTAAATCGATTATTTCTAATTTTGAATGCAGCTATCAACCAAAAAGTGAAAAAAAAATTCGTGTCGTAGGCACTCTAAGTTGATAAGGGAAATACTCTCGAGATAGATAGCTATTGTTGTTTTCTGTTCTTTGCATTCAGAAACACTTCATTCAATAAGTTTGAATTATGTTCTTTTTTTTTTTTTTTTTTTTTTTTACAGCAACTTCCATGGAGGATGCGAGTGAGAACCAAGCAAAAGATGGAAATCGAGACCGGAAAAACTTATCGCTTTATTAACGCACCAAATAGATAGTCGGCACAAATAATCTTCGCCAGCTCTGCTTGCGAATAACCGGTCAATAAATATTTCCACCGATTATGTTGTCGTTGTGTTCTCTATTAAGCGCCAAAATATAAATCAATCTCTGGGGCCGTTTAGTGGGATTATCTTAGTTTTAGGCAAAACTTAACGTTGTAATAAATAAACGTCAAACCTCTGGCATAGAAAGCTCTGAAAGTAAATAAGAACCTGAAGAGTGGGTCTTTCAAACAGTAGTTGCCATCTGAAAATTCATAGTTTAGGACTAAGGAGAAGTTAACGAGCTTATGTTCAATCTTCTAACTTTTCCAAAATACCATCGTTTTGAGGAAAAAAATTACTTTTTAAGGTGCTTGTGAATTCAGGACGCACCCTAAAAGGAAGCATGCGCGAAAGCTAACTTTCCTCTATCACACGCATTTGATCTTACGTTTTCATCACTTAATCAGAGTGGGTGGTTCTTTTAATGCTTTGTCGTAACTAATCAAGTCTGGTTCAATCACGAAAGGAATCACAGGAAAGAAAACCCACACCTCTGACTAAACACAGGGACTCCGAATGTACTTCTCAGTTTTTGGTCGGTGGCCAAGCCCCTATTGGGGCATCAATTGTTCAACCCTTGTGCTTTCTTCTCTTGGTCTCTCGTTGCAAAAATCCAAAGGCTTCTTGGTCAGCCGATAGCAAGCTGGTGACGTTGGTTAACGCAGTGGTCAAATGTTTGCGCGTATGTAATGTAGTGACCGGGTGGCACGCATTCTGACTATCAGAACAAAGTTGTCATACACGATTTACAAACAACCGCAAGTAGTAAACGGGGATCACTTTGGCTCCTAACCAGTCAGAAAGCGTTCTTTTGAGACTAACGTGGACTAATCATGTCACGTTATTTGAAAATAACCCATACTATTGAAATTTTTAGCGGCTTTAAGAACATCCGGCGGAAACGAAGTTACACATGGTTAGCGGAAATGACGTCCGAAAAGAAACCAGGGCTGCACTTAGCCAAGTAGTAATTTGTCATTCCGTGCGAAATCGGCAAAGGAAGGCAGTCTCAGCTGTGCTATACAACAAAATCGATAGAACACTTAACAAGTTTAAATCTCATGGTTTGTCAATAATCTCCGCTGACACATTTAAGCAAACTGAAATGAGTTTTTAGTTTGTTGCTCATGTCCTGATTCACGCTTTTAGATCAACAATCCGTCATGCAAGAACAAAGTACGATCCTTTCTGAAATTCATATACTTAATAACCTCGATGACTAAATAAGCATGTATTTCTCTCGGTTCCCATGTCTTTATGCCATCCATGATGTAATTGTCCAAAAATTTTTCTGCGCGCTGCGCCCAGTTCCAGCCAGACATCAAGTTTTTCTGTTTCATTTCATTGAATCTCCATTAAGTTAAACACTCTAGTGTTTACTTCATGTACTTGCGGAACTGTGCTTAGCTAATTCTTGATGGCATGAGAAATTTGTGCGAAATCAAAGTTATACTGATTTTCTACACGGCATAGCAAAATGTTGATCTTTTCGGATGTTCAAATACGTAGCAGGGTTTGTTGCAAAATGTTTATACTGTGATTTAGTTTTCGCGGAGACAGTGAAGAAAAATATGGCCAAACTGCTGCGTAAAGAAATCTTAACATTTGGCGCCATGCTGTTGTCGGGTTGAAACGAAGGAAAGTTGCAGTTAACATCGCCAAATTAGTAAATTTCGGATTCTTAGCATCACGTTTTCAAAGAAAGTTTCAAAATGAGAGAAACTTTCTCTCAGCGAGTAAGGTCGCAATGAGAAAAGGTTTGGATCGGGTCTATGATTTCAATTCAAAGAAAAAAATTTCTATTTTACCAACAGTTTTTTATAGAAAGCGAATGCCAATGAGTCTCCATAACAAATTACTTTTTGATTACGAATAGAGTTCCCAAAGCAACTTTCTAATAGCAACTCGCCAGATCTTTGAGGTTTCTGAAATGGGCAAAATCTGTTCACCCAAACAATTCAGGCAGCGATGACATTCTGACAATGCTAAAAGTCATTACAAAAGAAGCCATTCATTCCCGAACGTAAATTGAAAACCAAATTTCATGAGGAATTCACAAGCCAATCATTAACAAATATAAACGTAACTGATTGCATGAATATGCCTGCTGGATTTCGTTGACGAGACTATGAAATGATATATTAACACTTAGGGCCGGTTATCTACCTGCGGTTTGACCAAAACTGCGGTTTCACACAAACACTGCTCACGAACATAAATATTCAGATATTGTTCAGTTAAGCTAAAGATAGCTTAGAACGCGGTTTTGTTCAAAAAGGAAAAAAAAAACTGCTACAATGCACTAGCGCAGTTAAACGATTGAATTGAGGGCTTATAACATTTAGGACCAAGTGTTATTACATTAAGAACAGTTACTACGTTTAGGCATACAACATAGGCCCTCAGCAGGTGATTAATTTGGAAAGGTAAAATTAGTCTGTAGAACTTTCACGAGAAGGAGTCAATGAATCATAAACTCTTTGAGATATCTAGGCCCTCGGCGGGTGATTAATTTGGAATGGTAAAAAAACAAATAATAGCTCGATTTTAATCGAAAAGCTCGCAAACAAAACAACAAAGTTTTCAAGCTTTTTTAAAAGATATCCTGGTTAGTTAAAGCGCACATCTTAACAATATTAACCATCTAAGCACATAACTTTTGATGCAAAACATTCATGATACTTTTTATGTCAAAATCTCGTTTGTAATTTATTAATTAGTGAGACTAGTATTTAGAAGTTCTCAGTGAGTTGACGGCTCTTTTGGGTAACAGTTAACCCTATTAAAGCCCTCTATTCACTATTTTTACTTAAGGAATAAATATACCGAGGCATAAGTCTGTAGAACTTTCACGAGAAGGAGTAAATGAATTATGAACTCTATGAGATGTCTAGGCCCTCGGTGGGTTATTACTTTGGAATGGTAAAAAACAAATAATAGCTCGATTTTAATCGAAAAGCGCGCAAACAAAATAATAAAGTTTTCAGGCTTTTTAAAAAGATGCCCTGATTAGTTAAAGCGCACATCTTTACAATATTAACCATCTAAGCATACAACTTTGATACAAAACATTCATGATACCTTTGATACAATTTATTTATGATACTTTTCAAGTCAAAATCTCGTTTGTAATTTTTTAATTAGTGAGACTGGTATTTAGAAGTTCTCAGTGAGTTGACGGTTCTTTGGCTAACAATTGACCCTATTTAAGCCGTCTATTAACTATTTTTTTCTTAAGGAATAAATATACCAAGGCATGCTACTGGACAATTCAAGAGCAAGAATGCAGAAACCTTGCGGTGTTATTTCCTTTTAACCTCTAGAAGCTGTAGCTTGCGTACAGTCTTTGGCTTGCATTCCACGAAGAACAAACATCCTGTTCATATTTGCACAGCTTCATCTGCGTTAAGGTAAGGAAGTTGTAACGTGCGCAGTTTGAAATCCGCATTAAGTTGCCTCAAGTAAAAATTCCTATCAGGGAGCAACTAGGTGCTGATTTTTCGTATTTTCTCTTCCTTTTCTTACAGTTAATTGAGCTGTAATAAAACTTTACGGCTGTTTAAGTACAAAACTGTCTCGTTTCATAAACAGACCGAAACACGGATAGCAATAATGCGAGAAATACACATTTTCCCTCTCATATTTACTGCAAATGATGAGACATCTTATAGCTGGGCAAAATTTGGTTCACGGTTTCAGCTCTAAAATGGTATCAACGAAATACACGTTTTTTTGAGCCTCTCAAACCCCGGTATATGGTTATAGAGATTAAACTTAATTATAGCGCATTAGTTACGTTAGTCCGAAACTTCTTCTGGGAAGTACCTTGTCATCATAACAAGGAAAATATATGTAAACTGGCTGATGCTTGTGAAAAAAAAATACTTCGTATAACACGGAGTTACGTCTCTGAAAGGTACCTAATGACAGAATCGAAACTGGATTTTATAGCAAGGTTAAGACAGCAAAACAGAGATCAAAAAGTTTATTTTGGCGTGCAGAAACCTCTAAGCAGCCAGCCATTCTTCGCTGCATGCCTTCTAACCAACGCCTGTTTTTCCATTGTTCATTCTGAGCTAATCACCATCAAGACATGTCCAACAATACCAAATCATTTTAGAATAGATTGCGCCTCACATATCTGTTTGTCTTTTTCACGATCTGCTTGCATTTCAATCACCCTAGGTCTTCTATTGTTGGACTAAATTTGGATCGTCAGAGTTTCTCCCAAGAAACGTTCGCCCTGTTTGGAAGTGTTTTTGATGAGATTTCTCACGACTTCCCTCTAAACTAATGATTTGTTTGACTATGCTTGCAAGGCCTTATCTCATTCCTCTTTCCACAAGCATTTGCGGTCACTGCTATGTACAGATCCTCATGTGCCGAGAGAAACAAACACTTTATTAATAGAGAATAATACATGGGCGCGCGTAGATATGGAATTTCTCTTCGAGCGTTTTACTCGATAGCGAGATGTCGAGTTGAACACGAGAAGAGAAATTCCATATCTACAAGCAACCATGTATTATTTTGTTTATTATATAAACATAATTGCCCTTTACTGAGAAGAAAAGCCGACTTCATTAATGACAATCCCCGAATAAAAATCGCAGAGTGCGTTGGCGCTAACTCTTAAGAAGGAAAAATGCGTTGAATCATGATTAAAAACACAACAATGGTCGTAATTTTCTCTTTACAAAATTCTCATTTATTGACTTTGTCTTTACCGACAGAAGAAGTCTTTCAGGTAAACAGCCAAAATTGGCCAGTGGCAAATCTTCCTGTTGTCGATTTTCCTCCTCAGCCGAGAGAAATGCTAACACCAAAGCCACTAAATATGTAAATTTCGGTTTTTCTTTTAGTCTATTGGTTTCCTTCTCCTTCTAAGAAAGTTTGAACCTCACAGTCTGTCAGCGTTACGGATTTTTTAGCGTTTTAGCCGCCGTAATTCGAGAAAGCTCCGACAAACAACTTGTATTGAGAATCGTTAAGGCGATACGATATT